ACATTGAATATTTAACTTTTTTTCCAAATCTCAATTCATCTTTCAATATTCATTGAAACATTTCAATCATATGTGGAAGATTATAACAGTTGGTGTTATTATTATTACTGTATAGCTAATTAAAAGTGGATTATCCAAACTGCTATCTGAAACAATAGCAGTTTGGATAATCCACTTTTAAGATTACTTGAGAACAAGTTTAAATTTTTTATCATAGAAGAAAGATTCTAATCCAGTTTTCTTTTCTATATAATATAAATAGAAAATGTCTTCTGCATAAATGATGTTTATGTTCAGATTTATGCTATAGTCATCTTCTAAAAATGTTCCAAGGTTTTTTTCTTAAAATTTATACATAAATGAAAGTCAAGATTTTACAGGGGAATATATATATATATATATATATATATATATATATATATATATATATATATATTTATAAAAACCTAAAGAGCTAGGTAAACTTACCTCAGTTTCACCTAAACAGATCGTCAGGGCCATATTAAAAAAAAATGTCACAGGTATAAAGCAGGTGATAAATTTTGTTCCCTATGCATGGAAGAAAAGTTAGCTATTGCTAGCTATAAAGAACCCAATAATTTATTAAATCTAAAATTGGAAATTCTTAGTAGGTGTAGACATAGGAAACGCTCAAGTGAAAATTTAGGATTCCTAAATTTTCACTTGAGGATGAAACAGGGCTTGTTACTTTAATTCAATTTAATTTCAATAATTATATTGAGGTTTTTGGCTCTTGTTTTTGAAACATGAGAACTCTTATGTAGCGAAGGAATCATTTTTTACAAAAAATAATTATAATATTATAAGCACACACACACACACTATTGTCCAAAAATTTGGGGCCACCCTCTAGATTTTAAAGAATTGCTTAAAGATTGAAAGTTGCATGTTCAAATTAATTTACTAACTTACTTCAGGTCAGAGGGACTTTCTCTTCCTGAATGGTTTTATTATATATTTAATAACAAAATTAAGCCATTACTGAATAAAGTTTTTTTTTAAATTTTAGCTTTTTTTTTTTTTTTTTTTTTTTTTCTCTCTTGCTGGCTAATCTTAGGGGTGGTGGATTTAAATTTTAAGTAACATCCTCTCTGAAAAAAAAAAAAACCTCAACACCACACACTAATGAGTTAAATAGTTTCAGCATCTAGGTTAGTAGGAATTAATTAAACCAAAGCAGGTATCAATAGTTATTAAACCCTGGGGCTGGCAACAAACATTTAGCCTATATGTATGTATGTATGTATGTATGTGTGTGTGTGTGTGTATATATATATATATATATATATATATATATATATATATATATATATATATAAGAAATGTTTAAAATAACAGAATAAAAAAAAAAGTTTTTTTGTTTCTTTTTGACTGTTTTCTATGCAACTAACAAAGTCATTTTCTAACAAAACAAACATTTCTTGATATTTTCTTGGTTAGTGTTTAAATGTTTAACAAAATGATGTGTTTATCAGATTTAATTAATGCTAGATCTTTTGACATTTCCAAAAACTAATATTAATTGATCTATTTTTATTGATTATTTCCAATATTTATTGGTAATTGGTTGTTAATTTCATTTTAAAATATTACTTTCTATGAATTTAAAAAAATGATTGCTGAACTAATGTTTGATATCCAAATATTTTGAGATATTTCAAATATAAAAGAAAGTATTCTTGTATTATTTCAAACAATTGTTCTTATCCTGGTTGATATAGATGTTATTATAAACACAATGTTTCAACCAAATACCCCCCTGGTCATCATCAGTTGTCCATTGATAACATCTATACCAACCAAGATGAGAACAATAATTTGAAATAATACAAAAATATTGACAAATACTCATCTCAGAAATTAAATGCTAAATTATAAAAGAAAGTTCTTATTGCTTTTTTTTTTTTTTTTTTTTTTTTTTTTTTTTTTTTGAATAAAAAATTGTTTTTTACATTTTATTTTGTTAGATTTTAGTTTTAATTTTTTCCCATTATGTAAAAATTAATTTTTGTCTAAAATTAAAAAAAAAAAATTAAATTTTCTCTAAGCTTATTAGCCTTTTTATGCAAAATGAAATTCAATTTTTTTCTTTTTTACTTATATGTAGTTATTAAATTATTTAAAAAATTTCCAATTTGAATAAAGGAAGATCTTGTTTTATTGTTGCAACAGATAACACAGATTTTTAACCAACATTTTCCTTATAGGACAAAGCTTAAGCAAGTTTTTATTTATGTCTTTGTGTGGTTAATAAACTAATGTAATTAATATATTAAAGTAATTGAATTTTATGACTAGTTAAAAATGGTGTTGCTGGGTTGTTTGAAACAACATCTTTCCAAGTTTCCCCAACAAGAAAACAAACAATAGGACGTGAATACAACATAAGTACTTGTTTCCACAGAAACATTTAACATAATCAACACAACATCAGAACTAAACAATCTATACACAGCAATACAAGTTGAATATCCTTTCAATCAAGATGGCTGCCATATTAATTTCTTCCACACTTCTCTAACATAATTGTGGAAGCTAAAATTGTATCTAATTACATATTACAATTTTGAGTCAGTAAACTCTTCTTAGGGTTTGCACACATATTACTTAAATGTTCTCATGTCTCTCACTAATGTCATTTTTGACAAACTCACATGACAACTTTTGGTGGGAAACTGTGAGCTGCTGCTGCTATTTTTGTGTGTCTATAGCATAAATAGCCATTTTAAAATTTGAATAATATTGATAACTTCTTTACCAAACAGGCGAACAGTTTATGATATAGAAAATGGAATCAGCAAACCAAGTTCAAATTCTATCACACACACACACCTCTCAATAGGTTAGGTCATGTGTTACATGTACAACATCAAATAATTTCCATTACTCCCAGAAATGCCATAAAAGACTCAGCATGGTTATTTGGCAATTTCTTCAGTCATGGAATCATTTTATTTCATTTGATTCTCTCTGCCATTTGTGCGAAATATTTTCAAAAAAAAAAAAAAAAAAAAAAAATGGCTGTTATGAAATGATTTAAACTGAAGCTCCACTAGTTTTAAAAAATCTGTTGACAATTTGTTTGGGATTTATGGCAGATGTAATGACTATTTGATGAATTGTTTAAATATAAAGAAAAAAAATCTAATGTTCAAAGGAGAGAAACATCTGACATATTTGTTTTACTTTTAATGATTTATAACAATTTGTCATAAGACACACAAGTGCTAATATGGCTGCAGCACGTATTAGGCCACTACATCCCTAATGGATTATGGGAGATTTTTTTTTTTTTCAAAGAAAAGGAAACAGCAGTATGTAAATATTGCACTGTCACTAATGTTCTGGTATTATGGACTGGAACCCTAGTACTAAAACTCTGAATTTTACAACTAAAAATGGATTACAGTAAACAGTCATCTAAAAAAAAAAAAAGTTTGTAAAATCTGTCTGATATGTTAATAAAATCAGTAAATATGTTTTACCTTTGAAACATTTAAGGATTCAAATAATAAAATCCTCCATTATTTCTTATTTGTTTAGACTAAATTTGATTATAAACAAGAATGTTCTACAAAATCATTTTTATTCTTTATATAAAAATGTGTTACTAATTTTGTATTTGCCAAAAACCAATGCATTATAAACATCTTTATTATTTTCACAACTGTATGAAAATATGATGTTGCTTCTACAAAAGCTGCCACACATAACAATGTAAATTATAGCATACAAGTCTCATTCCTTCCAAATTAGTAATTTGACTGTTTCATCCAGTATAAAAAATGAACCTTGACCTAAGAGCAGAAGCACCTGCTTAAAACTTGCTGAAATACCAACACTCCTTAAATTGGGTACGGGTTAACAGATGTAGAGTTTCCCAAATCTGTCTTATAGTGATGGTAGCACCACTTGGATACTGATCACTTTTTTAGCAGCTGAAGTCAATGGTTAATTGGCATACAGTAGGTTTTTACTCTCTTGAAAACATTGATGATATCATATTTAAATCATTATCAGTCCCATGACCAGATATTCCCATATGGTTGCTATGAGATTGAGTTCCTGAGCAGCTCCTTCCATATTGTCTTAGTAGCATGCCAATATATGATTATCAGCCCGTTTTTTTCCTCTGTTTACCTTTTCTTCTTTAACTTAAAATGGTACTTCATATGATAAGTGGAAAGATTGTTGGCTTTTATGATGTAGCCTTACAATTTCAACTTTGTCCTCTTTCACAATGGTTATGAGGTCTTCCAACAGGCATGTTTCTTGTGTGATGTTATCTCACACTGCATTATTTGTGATGTGGTCTACATAAGAAATGCAGAGGATAGTTCTGTGGCATCTCATTTCTAAAGATTGGATGTCATATTTAAGTCATCACAAAGTTGCATTTTGTTAGCCATTCTGACTTTAACTTGATGATAGTTACAACTCATTGAAAGCCACTGATTGTCTTGCTTGTTTATCTGGTAAAAGAAATGCTATGATATGTTTAATTATAGTTTCACCATTTCATTGGTTATGATAAGTAAATGAGTGTTAAGTAAACTGTGTGGGAGAGTGCAGGGATTGAAGAGGGGGGCAATTTCTCTAGGAAGTAAAAAGTAAAACTTGAGATTTAAAATCTTACGTTCAATTTGTATGCTGTAATTTACACTGCAGCAATGCTTCTGAAGATTTTCAAATGCTTTGTCCCAGCTCTTCTCTTTAACATTTATTGCTTCACAAATGCAGTAACATCAAAAACCCAACAACAATATTGGTTTCATTTTTGTTTAACATGGAATATTTTAATTTAATAAAAGCTTCTTTCACTCTGCAAATAAATCCATTCAACTGTTTCTAATGAATCTATTGTTTATTTGTATTTTGATATTTATATATAATTTTAATTTTACTCTTTTTTTGATTTTTGTATTTTCCATTGATTGCTTTTCATGTCAGCTTTTTCTTTTTCTTTTCCATCTCAACAGATTGTTATCAAATCAAATTCTCAGGCTTGCCAGGTACCAAGTGAACCAACAAAAAGTAAATTTTTTTCATTACATTTATTTTTTTTATTATTTTGATAATTTATTTTTTATTATTTTGATAATTTTTTTTTCTTTTACTTTAAATTTCAGTTTCTGCTGAAGAGAAAATAACAATAAAATACATTCAAAAATGATTATTGTACAACCCTATGTAGTGTTAAATTGGTCAAACAAAATCTATTTTAAACTGAGGAATTTAAATCATAAAATATTTTCCAAATTGTTTCAATTCACTTTCTTTTGTCTTTTTTAACTAGATTGAAATCTTGACTCCAAAACCAATTACAATTTATGAAGTTCTACATACAAAAGTGCTTAATATTTCATTGATTAAAGAGATAAATATCCTTTCACTCTCCAGCCTTAAACTTAACCTTTGACATAAAATTTTTCCACAAATTATCCAAACTGGTATCCTTACCATTATGGTCTTAATTAATCTGATTTGACTGATGTATTCTCTGGCCTTCAGTTACATGCTGTTTCTATAATTTTTTTCCTTTTTAAACTTTCTTCCTCACCCCCTAAATCTAGAGTAGTGTTTTCTAATAAACATGTTTAGATTTCGGGATGGTGTTCCCTAATCTACAACATATTGGGGTTGTTCTTCCCTAATAAATGATGTGTGTTGATTAAGGAGTGAGTAAAAGTTTTAAAAAAAAAAAAAGAGTAATTAAAAATAAAGCTTAGGAAATTGAGAATTCCCTTTGCTAAACATAGTGATCAAAACAACAAAGATGAGGATACCAGTTCAAAGTAATCGTAAACAAATTATCACTTTAGCCAATCTTCCATTACTCATTGAGAATAAAACAAACTGAAAAGTTTGGTCAATATTTTTCATTTTATGAAATCTGAAACTCAAAAGTAATGAGTGATTTATTTCTGCCATTTCTTGTATGTTTTTATTCATTGACTATTTATTCTCTTTAGCAACTTCATCCTATGACATCTTAAGTGGGTGTAAAGATAATGCAACTCCACAAAATCCCTACAGCAATCCAAAATCAGGAACAAGTGCTAGTAGCAGAAAATGTTCCAGTAAGTTGAAACAACAAATGTGTCTTTTCTGTTTTTAGGTTTTCATGTGACTGTCTTAGACATTTTGAGTTTATTTTCTTTTATCTCTCTTGAAGGGTAAAAACACTGATACAAAATTAGTTCTCAGTTTTATTCTTAATCACAAATTGGTTTGCTAAAAAAAAAAAAAAAAGCTGTTTCTTGATCAGCAAATATGAAATTATTCCACAAATGATTTAGTCACTGATCCTCATCTTTGTTGTATTTTTATCACAATGTTTCAGCCAATGTGTTTTCTAACTTTCCTCAGGGACGCAATTCATTCATTACAGAAATTTCTTTTTGTTAGATTTGGGCATCACATATAATTGTGTAATCCAGCTACATATATTGATGATCAACACATACGTTTTATTTTTTTCACATGTGCAAATCTTTGTCAATACAAATTTCATTTACAAAGGTTTATTTCTATGTCAGCATTATGGAATACAAGTAGCTACCTGGTGTTGAATTCTGTATGTTTTCTTATGTTAGTGTTTATATGAAGGAAATAGACAAGAAAGCACCATGCCTCACCCATGAGTTGAAGAGTATACATTCTATAAAAACATAAACTTAGTCCTTTTTATTATTATTATTTCTTAATTTTCATCTCATCATTTCTTGGAAGAAATCTTCAGTTAAATCTAATCACAGTTTTAAAAAAGTTATCAAGTTTTCTTTAAGCTTTCAAGTTCAATTAAAGGTTGAAAAGTTTATGATTAAAACATATTTCACTTAAAAACAAACCCTAATAAAACCAAATTGTCCAATTTTGGAGTTCATGCCTTAGAAAATAAGAATATTATTAAGAGAATATAAAATGAAAAAAAAGATATGTAAAAACAGTAAATAAGAAATTGAGACATTTAAATATGGCTCAGGACTTTGGCCTAAAATTAAAGAGTATCTTCCCAGCCTTCTGCCTATGATCAGTGTAGTCTCTGTGCACTTTGGTTGGGATCAAAGTGTCCCTGACTGGCCTCTATTTAACACCAGAGTGTACTTGGCCCTACAGCAGCATCATCTTCATTGTAATAAAGAAGAAGGGTTGGTGGATATGCTGCCACATGACTTGTTGTGGGGACTGGGTAGTTTTTGTTCTTGATCTGTATGTACATCACTCCACATCAAACTAACTTTGTGTCACATCCAGTGATAGCACCAGGGCTGCTGGAATCTCTGGAAAGCTGAATTTTGGTGCCCTTTTAATTTTCACAAGGAGAAAAACTGAAAAATAACTAGTTTATGCAAGCTAATAAAAACCTTCATTATCCTACCTAAAACATTTTTTTCTAGCCTTTAGATCTGCAAATCTTTTCATGGTACTTTTTACAACTATCTTCTTTACAAGATCATTTTCTATAGAGAAAATAGCCAAAGAATTTAACCTGTCTTGAGTCATGGATAACTGCAAGTATGTTTTTATAAGCTTTAGTTTTGGTAGATTCCAAACACATGACATGATGGCACCTTCAGCCATGATGGTGCCTTAGGCAACTGCTCGAGTTGCTAGTACCTTGAGCCAGCCCTAGTCACATCCGACCACTATGAGAAAGTGCTATGTAGGAGATCAAAGTGTAGTGTCTGTTCTTTTCTTCTAAGACTCTAGTTCATAACATTGATGCTGTGTTGGCCTTCAGGTAATTCACAGTGTGTGATAAGGTGATCCTAGACCCAGGGATTCTAAGCCTCCTGCAGCACTTCTATCAATGGATTATAATTCTAATCCAATGGCTGGACAATCTTATTCTGTGCTTTCACATACTTAAAACAAATGATATAACAGACTTTCTTGCATGTGAATTGATTTATTTTATGGTTTATCAACCCTTTTGGATCATTTTTTGTGAATGTATATTGCATTAACAATGGTTTTACAAGATACAGTTTCTACTATTTAACTCATAGCTGGGGGAAATGGATTCTCAAGGATATTTTTATGAATCCTCTGATACATTTTGCAAGAAAGGTGCTATTTTTTCCCCTCTTTATTACTAGTGGATGAGAATGTAGTATGTGTGCACTTTGGGAAAATTGGAAATTCTTGCCAAAATCAAATAATTGTTATATTTTAGCAAAACTTTCAGGACTTATTCACAAATTAATTAAATTATTTTAGAAATGTTTTCTTTTAGAAAATCTTGATAAAAACATTTTTTTGTACATCTCTTAACCCACCCACCCCAAACACACATGCATACACACACACACCACACACACACACACACACACACTTATCTAATTTTATGAAATTTTGAGAATTTAGATTTTGTAGAGCTTAATGTTTATATTATTTAAAAGCAGAACTCCTTGGAGTATTTAAATACTCAATTGTTTTTGTAAAACAGGACTCTGTTATTGAAAATCTGCTCTGAATCATAAAATAAAGAAATGCAATAAAACTAAGATGTTATTTAATTAGAAAAAAACTTTTAATTGCTTTTATGAATAAGATATATTATGGACACAATTGTCTTAAGGAAAAACTTTTTTCAATAAATAAGGAATTTTTACAAGAATTGTTTTCATTTTTTTATTAATTTTAATTACAATAATTTATAAAGTTTTAAATCTTTTAAAATTCTGTCTTACTTTTTAGAGATTAGGCTATATTGTTAATTAAAACTATATTTACTAATCATAATTGAAAAAGCTTAGTACAATTCAACAACACAATATTTTTAAAAGAATTTTTTTTTCTGTTTATAAACATGTCAATTTTTGTAAATACTGACATTCATACATGATATTATCAGAAAATAAGAGTGATAACTATAGCCAAAGTACTTCAAATTCAATAAAACATTAGATTATGGACAATATTTTCCTAAAATTTTTAAGATTACTGTGTACTTAAAAATATATATAAACACTCACATTATATTCCTTGCTGTAAATTGCCTAAAAAAAAAAAAGAGATAAAATTCCGTCTGTCTGTCAAGCTATCAGCACTTTAAATAAACACCTACTGCCATGTCATTTCTGTAATATTTTAAACTTAAAGTAAAAGTAATATTTGTTTCAAATCAGATTAATTAAAGTTTAAATTGTCTAATTCCTCAAATAAAATTTCAGAATAGTATAATTTATTTTTGAAAGATTTTTTAATAAAGAAAATTACATTGTCATGACAGATGGTTTAAAATGGTACTAAAATCAGTGATTTTAGAGATTTCAAAACAACAACTTCTTTTCAGTCAATTTAAATTAGGTACTTCCACTTTTTCAGAATAAATTTTTGATACCTAAGGTTTAAAATGAATTTTAAAAAATGGAAACGCATTCTTGAAGATTTCATTTTATCTTTAATTGAAAGCTAAAGGATTAAATTTATTATTTCCAGTAAGTAAAATATTCTGGTATATTTCAGATAGAAATTACATAGATTGGAATGTCAAATTTAACTTGGGATTTCTTAAAATTTTCTTAACAGCAGCCATTTTCTTAATTTTAAGAAATTTGTAAACAAAACAAATTTATCAATTCTAAAACTATTCCAAAAAATATATATATATTTCTGACATGTTATTTGAGTAAAATTAGAAAATTTAAAGTTAAATTAATCCAATTTGAAATAAATATTACTTACTTATAACATAAAAAAGATATATACAACCATTTATTATTGATCAGCTGTGTTTATCTGAAGCGATGATTGGTAGATGATTAAGTGATGAAACAATGACAGCTAGCATGGCTGACTAGAATTGATAAAATTTACAAAATCTTTTTTTAACTAACTAATAATTTTTTAAAAAAGAACATATTTTCCACAATTATCTAATAATTTATTGACTTTTATTTACCTTTCAAAGATGCTTTATGCAAAAATAAAAAAAAAATTTTAAAACTATAAAATTTTCTTAAATTAATTTCTCTGTAACTAGACAAAACTCTTACAACATGTGACTTTTTCATAATAATGTCTTGTTTAGCCTGGAAAAATTTTATTTCTTCAGACAATAATGTCTTTAATATAACTTATTTACAAAAGCAATTAAAAGCTTTTCTAATTAAATAATGTCATAATTTTATTGCATTCATTATTTTTCAATTCAGAGAATAGTTTCATATTAGAATAGTGCAAGTTTGAAAAAAATTAGGCCATTTACAGGAGTCTTAGTTTTTTAAAAAAAAAAAAAAAAAAATTTAAGAAATAGAAAGGTTTTTGTGAAATTTCATGAAGTTAAGTAAGTGGAGAGTAACATGTAAATAAAAAAATATTCTTTACCAAAATTTTCTAAAAAAAAAATTTTCCAAAATAGTTTAATTCATTTGTAAACAAGTCCTGAAAATTTCATTAAAATCAGACAATTATTTGATTTTTACAAGAATTTCCAAATCAATGTGTTTTCAACAAAAATAGTGCAAAGAAGTTAATGTAATTATTATAAACTGTACCCCCCCAACCCTATTTCTATTTTGAAATACAGCAAAGTATTTGACTTATTGAAATTGCGTTTCTGTGGAGGTACCTGTTTATGGTTTTAAATAATTCTTAATCTCTTTTTTTCTTGATTTCTGTTCAAAGGGTCAAATGCTTCAAAAAATGTTTAAATACATAAAATGAGGCATTGCCACAATAATAACTAGTTCAGCTACTAGTATTCTACTGTTAAATCATAGCGTGGGCATTTTTAATAGCTTAAAACAGGCACCGAATAGGACTATGACAACTCTTGAATCCATTACATTCACTTACATGCTAATACCCTTGGGAAAGATATGAATCCTCGTCTTCTCCCCCTAGCTATGGGTAAATAGCAGGCCACTGTGTTGATTGGAAACTGGTCTACCACAGAAAGAAATGGCAATCTACTGCAGGAGAAAAATTTGCCTCGTCAGTCATGTATTGAAAGATACATGATCGCCTAAGTGTGTATCATGCATGGCACATAACTGACTGAATTACAAAGGGAACCAACTCGGTGCCATACACAAATTTAGACAGTGTTTTGAATTTTAATCAACACATCATCACCTAAAAAGAAATTAGTTATCAAATTAAGAAAGAAATGTTGAAGTTTTAATTTGTTTCTTGTTAAAATGTTTGTCAGTTGTCTGTTGAGTTAAATTACAAAGTAGGTGATAGAAATTCCACGTGTTTTTCTGTTTTTGAGAAAGATAAAACGAAAAATTGAAGAATTACATAAAAATACGATGAATAAACAATATTCATTTTTTTTTTTTATTTCATGTTTAATTTTTGCAGTGTCCTGTTTGGCCTGTACTTGAAAATGAATATTTTATTTGAGTCGTGTGTAGTTCGTAAACAAATTTATTTTTTGTTATTATTATATACGAATATGTAACATAGTCAAAATTGTTAATTTAAAAAGAAATTATGATAATTTTTTTTTTCCTAGCTGGGTTATATGACTTTAATTTTGATAATGACTGTCAATCAGCTGATTGCTGGGGAAAAATAAGCTGACAATCAAGTGATTAACAAGGGAAATAACTTAGTGGTATGATTTCAAATTAGATTCCCTTGTCAAAATTCGTAAAAAATACAAAACATAAAACGATTTCACCAATGTATTTACAATGCCCTAAAACAGATGGTGGCTTGTGGGAATTCACTTGCAAGAATATGAATTAATTTATTAGGGAAATACTACGAAATAGAACTGAAAAGAAGACAAACCTTTGAAGAGTTGACCTAACAGCTCAAAAAGTGGAATCGGCAAAGTTGAAAGTCCATTTGAAACGGTTTGTTTTTACTTCACATTAATGCCTTTAAGGAATGATTGCATATCTTATTTTCACCTTGCCATTGATAAAAAAAAGAAGAATGGATTCGTTAGTCTTGCTAGATAACATCTAGCAGGATAACTCTAGGGTAGCTGAATGTCATCTTTTTAATTGACGTCTGGTAACTTCTATAATGAAAACGATGCAAATATGTATCAGGTTACAAAACCTACAGCTGACAGGTCTATGTTGAAGCTTTGAAAAACCAAAAGTGGATTAAATAAATTGCCCAAATAAAAACAAAGGTGGAAGATCTCTCCACAATACCTCATAGGGAAAATGGATAAAAAAAAATCTTTATAATAAAAGTAGAAATAATTAAATTTGGTGAATGTTATCTGTATTAGAAATGGCAAATTTACCATCTCTACTCCTAAGTCTTACATATGAAGCATAATGTGATGCAATTTGCATGTCTACATAAAAATTGGTTGATTGGCTCAGGAATTCATGATATGCATCTGTAACTTATTTTCTTCCTAGCACCTGAATTCCAGCGTAGACCTCCTCCGCCTTTACCACAACGCCTTCAATTAGGGGAAGGTAAGCCCTGCAATTGTAGCATGTCAATTTTTTTTTCACTTTGTATTGCTTCCCTATTATATACAAATGTCTTCCCATTTAGACGTGCATGGTAGAAATAGTAGTGTGATGATTTTAAGTTCATTGTTTTTATTTCCTGTCTTGTTTTCACTTTTTTGGTAACAATTCTCTTCTTCTCTCCAAAACCTTTTCATGCTTTCAAACAATCCCATACTAATGCTTCCCTGTGTTTGTCAAAAAAAAAGGTCCATTTCTGGAATTAAAAGTTTGCCCAGATTTCTTTTTTTTTTTTTTTTAAATTTCTTGAAAGCATGCACATCCAGTTATATATGGTCAAGGTATAGCAAGCATGCAAACACACACACACATATATATATATATATATATATATATCCAAATGTGAGAAAGAACAAATGGAGTAAAATAAGATTATTAAGAGTAAAACTCTTTATTACTATTGCCTAAAGAGGTACAACATAGTGCTGAAGCACAAAAGCTGTTGTGTAGAAATTTCAACATGTTTTTTCTTCTAATCTTTTATAATAAAAAAATTTATATAATTATATATATATATATATATATATATATATATATATATATATATATATATATATATATATATATATACACTAGCATAGTATCTGTCAAAAATTAAGGTATAATTTTCTTTTGCCTGGAACCAGAGCATTGGTGTGTTCTACTTCAGTGTAATATGTGGTGTGTGCTCTGTGAAAAGTGTGTTACAAATGGATAAATAAATATAATATAGGTTTATGATAGCATATGTAGATGTATTTTCAGTAAATAAAAAAGATAGTAAAGAATAAGTATATGTTCTGAGAATGTATGAGATATTTAGGAAAAAAAGTTGCTCTTTTCATTCCAGCTCAGAATATTCAAAGAATATACAAAAGATTGTCTAAAAGCAGAGAGTCATTTTTAAAGAGTGTGATTCTTTTATCTCTTTATCTCAAAATCATTCTTCCGGAATAAGTATCTTATATTCTGAGAAATAAAGTAAAACAGTTTTATCAATATCCTCCTGACCATTAAAATTCAACAATTTACAAGAAAAAATCAAATGATTTTAAAGACGACAAAATAATAGACATTACCAACATAAAGATTAACTTAGAAAATAAAGACTGCTTACTTTGTCTATTATTTGAGAGAATTAAATCCTCATTCTTAAATTTCTTTTAATATTTTGACTTTTTTAAATTAAATTTTCATTCATATTTTTTCATTTTTTTTTCTTTTTTATTTTTAGACATTTATTTTCCTCAGTTGTCTTTTAAATTTCAATTCACTTGAAAAATAAATTGGATCCAAGTGATCTCAGGTTTAATCTGATCCATAAGAAAATCCTTCCTATGTTGATGTTCTACAATGATCAACAATTTTTTTCTGTTTATATTTTGTTTAATTTTTGTATTTATTGTAGGCTGTGGTAGTCATTTTTACCCCTTTCTTTTTTAAAAAAAAAAAAATAATTCATTTAATCATTTTTTTAATCTGTCAACTATGGAGTTCCTAGAAAGCCAAATATGGCCATTTTTCTTAAAGAACCCAACAAATTCAACATTTTCTGAAATCTTTTCATCTCTATAGACTAATACATAAATTATGCAAATTTCTTTTATTTTAACTCATTAAATGGAACTCATTTTAACTCATTCTGGAACCCTTGTTTCTTAAGCTTTACATTGTGAGGAATTACCTGAAGCTAAATACGCATGATACTTTGCATGCAGGAGGCCATCTGCAATGCAAAAAGTATGTATATAAGTGTAATCCTTATCAGCTGATAAATATTCAAAGTTTCAACATGTATTTATAGATTCACTTGAAGTGGTAAGTAATTGGCTTCAATATATGGTGGACTTGTGTGTTCCATGATTTACAGTGTTGGAATGAGTTTGTTTTCTTGAAGATTTTACTTTGAAGTTTCTACTTGTTTGTATCATAAAATCAGCCTACTCACATGAACAATTATTCCTGGGCTTTGAAGAAAGCTCCAAGTTACACAAATGAATTTCCAGTGATTGAAGGTGTAGGAAAAAAGACACTAGCATTAAGTCTACTTTACATTGAATTCTGATTTTCTATTTATAATTTTTCTTTTTCTGTAACACATTGATTGCATTTCTGTTTTGATTTATAACAAAATTTATTAACATTGTTCTATTACTTGAATTGCTCTATTCAAATGTCTTGCTTACTTTTTTGTATGAAAAGTCATATTTAAACCTTCAGTCTGCTGATTTTTGCCTTTTTCAACAATTCAACTTTTTCAGGCAAAATTTTGATGTTTGTTTTCTCTGTTGATTTTTATGCCCTGCTTTTAGCTTTTCTTTTCATAAAAATGTAAGTTGAAATAATAATAAAAACATATTTTACATTTTAATTACTTAACCTGTTGAACACATGTTACTAGTTTCATGGTACAATTTTCCAGTTCCTAATAATCCAAGAGAATTATGCAGTCAAACACGTAAGTAGAATAAAGTTGTTCATATGAGCAACTTTGCTGCATTTCCATGGTAAATTGTTCTGTAATTTTGAAATAGTGAAATTTACTCAAAATATCCAGTGAGAGTGTTTTGGTAAGTGATCAGGTTTGAAGGTTCAGCAAGTTAATAAACAATTCTCTTTGCTTTTTATAAGCTGAACCACAGTTTTTGAGTTGCCAGTAATGATTCAAAGATATAACAATATTATCTTGCAAAAAACATAACTGAACAATGTTATTGAAATTGCATTGTCGGCCACAGTCTTAACAACATTAGATATGCAGATGACACAATGTTGATAGGAGGAATTACAGGCAAGAAAAGCAATAGGAAAGGACAATTTCAAGAAGAACAGAACGTATGGTTGTCAAGAAAAGGAACAGCTTGGCATGCAATTTATAAATTTAAGATACCAAAAGTACAACAATGTAAATATTTAGGAAGTGTTTTAATAAAGGGTGGAAAGTACAACCCCAAAATCCAGCAGTGCATTGAGATATTGAAAGATGCCTTCCAAAAGCTGAGTAAACTATTAAGAAACAGGAAAATTCTATGAGAAAATAAAGAGTATTGAATTCTTATGTAATATTGGTTCTCCTATATGGCAGTAAATGCTGGACAATCTCCTTGTAGATGAAGAAGAGACTAAAAGCAACAAAAATGTAGTTCTACAGAAGGATTCTGAAAATACCATGAACCAAACATCTGAGCCATGACAAAGTTTTAGAGAAAATAGAAACAAAAAAAACACCAATACTTAACATCAGAAAGAAAGAATTGGAATTTATAGGACACATAATGAGGAAAGAAGCCTTAGAAAATGTTACACTGACAAGGCAAGAGGGACAGACAAAAACCGTGCATAACCTACCTAATGAGCATGTGTAAATGGTTGGCAAAACAGAATTTAGGAGAGATAGCAAAAAGACAAAATTTATTAAGAGCTACAAAGAATAGAAAAATATGTTGAGCCATGATTGCCAACAGGACACAGCACATAGTAGAAAGAATTCTTTTAAATTTGTTTTTTATCAAAAACTTGCTGGTGGTGATAGAATGTTGTTGTGTTGTCCTCATGTCAAGGGTATAAAATAAATAATATATTTTTATTTATTTGATTTAGAGTGGAATAAGTCATTTGTTATTCAATGTAGCAAAATGTTTGTTTATAAGGTGGATATTGGTAGCAGTCTGTAGAAATGTCCATTTTAGCTCAGTAGTGGGTAATTTCAAAGTCATAGTAGTAGTCATCTTAGATTAGTGTCAATCTACTGTGATTTTCTCAGCCCTTTTTAATTCTTACATATATGCCAATTATACATGTACATACACATACACAAAATATTTCTATGTATGCATACTGTATATGCATCATATGTATTAACATGCATTAACATTAACACTCTCAGACTCACTAGAAAACAATTCACTGTTAATAACTCATTCTCGAATTGCCCCCTTATTCTGTTAGTATAGTAAGCCAAAGGGTGCACATTCTACATATGCCCTGCCAAAATATTACCATGCACTACCAGTGGAATCATTAATATAGAGTGAACAAGAGACAGATCTAACTTGAAGTTAAGTATAAGACATGCAACAAAAACAATTTTCTGTAGGGATGAAAGAATCATTTTCCCACAGAAGAAGGGTTTCTCTTTTAAGTGACAGGAGTTTTCTATACAACACAACAAGATTTCTTCAGCAGGAAAGAAAGAAAGAAAGTATTTCTATATATGACACAAGTTTAATGTCTGGAATTTGAACCTCATTCATTTAAGCCTTTTCAAAAATGTTTTTCTTTTTACAAGCATAAAAATATTGATCATATTGTGAAAATACTTGCAAAAAACATTTTAGCAAAATTTTATATTTTTGAAATTATAAAACATCTAAGGTAGAGAAAATGATAAAAATATTTGTTATTATTCTTTAGAAAACATTTTGACAACTCAATAAGATGTGACGTCTTAATAAAGGCTGTGTTTTTTACCATTGAGGTTTTCTTTCTTTTATAGATTCTAAAACAAAACAACCTGTAAATGGCGCATCAAGGCCACCAGTTCCTCCCAAAACACCAAAGGTAAGAAATTTTTAGATAATATTGACAATGCTTAATTAAACATTTTGAGAAAATTTCTACCTAACTCCTCTCTTTTCAGAATTCCTGTATTTGTATTTAAAAAGTGAATCAATGTGTTGCTGCATATAATTTAAAGGCCAAAAGTTTTTACAGTTACAGAGACTCAAGATGTTTTGCAGGAAACCATCATCAAAAAATTATTTTGTAAAATATTTTTTATTGGCATCTGATTGTCTTTTTGTTGCTGTTGTTTAACTTAGAAATTTTCTGTTAATTTTAAGAATTAACACATGTTATTTATTTAATTAGTTGTTTTCTCAAATACAAACATTATCGATTTACCTGCCAAAAACATGGAAAACTTGAAATCTAATGATTCACAATCACTAATAGATAATATTAAATATTATTAATACTTAAATGATAATCATTTTATTTGTTTACCTAATACAAGGTTCACTGTTTCAAATAGTACAGCAAAC